CCCAAACCACCCACCCCATGAGAAAATATCTTGGATGAGACAGCTCAGAATTTCATTAAAAACCTCCCAAATTTAACCTATTATTCTGTGTTAGACAGACAGGGTGAGCAGACTCGGTAGGTCTTTTGAACAGAGGCTTAACAGTTCAGTACTTCGACTGTTAGATATACACTGAAAAGGAAAACATGTTAATTTTCTGAAACCACATATATCCATCTATACGGAAAAAGAAAAATGTTCTGTGGCGCTACTTAAATCCCACAAGTTGTCTTTACTATAGTCACACAAATATAAAAGGGGTAGTAGAGAGATCAGAATCTCAATCCAAGATTACATCTTTTTCTCTATGGTCTAATAAATCTTGGATCTTTTTGTTTCATTTCCTTTTTTCAGAAAGAATATAGAAAAAAGGGTCTTTCTTCAGATCTCTTTTTCTATCATCTTTTCTTATTATGGCAGATTTAAGGAAGTACATTACCAGTGATGAGCTCAAGAATCACAATAAACCAGGGGATCTGTGGATATCTATTCAAGGTAAAGTATATGATGTCTCAGATTGGGTTAAAGAACACCCTGGTGGTGATTTCCCATTGTTGAATCTTGCTGGTCAAGATGTCACTGATGCCTTTGTTGCATACCATCCTGCTACTGCTTGGCAGTATCTTGACAAATTCTTTAATGGGTTTTATCTCAAGGATTATTCTGCTTCTGAGGCGTCTAAAGATTATAGGAGGCTTGTATCTGAGTTTACTAAACTGGGGTTGTTTGAAAAGAAAGGCCATGTTTGTTTCTACACCATGTGTTCAATTGCAATGTTGTTTGCTGTGAGTGTTTATGGTATCTTGTGTTGTGAGAGTGTGTTGGTTCATTTGATGAGTGGTGGTTTGATGGGGGTTCTTTGGATTCAGAGTGGTTGGATTGGTCATGATTCAGGGCATTATCAGGTAATGAGTACACGTGGACTCAACAGATTTGCTCAAGTGTTAACTGGGAATTGCCTTGCTGGAATCAGCATTGCTTGGTGGAAGTGGAATCACAATGCTCATCACATTGCTGTCAACAGTCTTGAATATGACCCTGATCTTCAACACATGCCATTCTTTGTGGTATCTTCCAAGTTTTTCAACTCACTCACTTCTTATTTTTATGATAGGAAGATGACTTTTGATTCTTTTACTAGATTCTTGGTTAGTAATCAGCATTGGACATTTTATCCTGTCATGTGTTTTGCTAGGATCAATTTGTTTGCTCAGTCATTCATATTGTTGTTGTCCAAGAAAAATGTGCCCTATCGAGTTCAGGAGCTTTTAGGGGTGGTTGCATTCTGGATTTGGTATCCATTGCTTGTTTCTTGCTTGCCAAACTGGGGTGAAAGGATAATGTTTGTTCTTGCTAGTTTCACTGTGACTGGAATTCAGCATGTTCAATTCTGTTTGAACCATTTCTCATCTGACATTTACGTCGCACCGCCTAAAGGAAATGATTGGTTTGAGAAGCAAACTAGTGGCTCTCTTGACATATCATGCCCTAGTTGGATGGATTGGTTTCACGGTGGATTGCAGTTTCAGATTGAGCATCATTTGTTTCCTAGATTGCCAAGATGCCAACTGAGGAAAGTCTCTCCTTTTGTGAAGGACCTCTGCAAAAAGCATGGTTTACCTTATAATTGTGCCTCCTTTTACATGGCTAATGCTTTGACCATCAGCACCCTCAGAGCTGCAGCTTTACAGGCTCGCGATTTAACGAAGCCTGTCCCAAAGAATCTAGTTTGGGAAGCTGTCAACACTCACGGTTGAGACTGAAGAGCTCAAGGAAATCCGTGGGATAGTTCTTTTTCTCATAATTGCTGGATTGGAGAAAAGAATTTCCGCTTTTATTATTTATGCCTAGTATTGATAAATTCTAGCAACGACAATTTTGATCTTCATTTTGATGGAGATGCATATCATTGTAATATCTAGGAGAGAACAATTGTACTATTTCAGTCTGGTAAGGGCTTAATCTATTGTATTTGATCCAGAAAGCAGCAAGAGCAATTCATATTGTCCTTCCCTGGTTCAATTTTAATGTATAGTTTTTCAGGTTGCTGCAGATTTTGTTTTCTGCTCTAGCACCGTGTTAAAGTAGTATTGTGTTTTCTAGTTTTGGGTCCTTTCCTCGTTGTAGATTTGCCTACACCCTGATTATCACATGATATTCTATAGTCAACCAATTCCACTCATGGTTTTTGTTGTCTGCTTATATGTGTTTCAGAGTACAGGTTCAAGTTTGTGCATTATTGTGCCATAGGAATTAATCGTTTCTGATGGACGTTCATGGCGTTTAGTCTCAAACATCTTGGTGCTTGATATCGAGTTTGACAGTGTTCGCGAACATAGTTCTGAATTTATATGTGATTGCATGATATCAACTCATTACACTTCACTTTCACAAAAAGGTCCTGTTGATTTCTCTTTGCTTGTGACTTGCAATAGTCTCGCATTAGTATTTTGCTCTCCCAAATGCAACTGCCTGTCAATCTCTAGAGCTTTCTTTAAACTTGCAGGCCAAAATTTTGTTTAATTTGATTGTCATATCTTACTGAAGTGGTCAAAATGTTTAAGGACATACTTGTTATATGCCTCACTGAATATTTTTGTCTTGTCTAATTTTGCCATGTTTGTACTATCCTTTGTCTATAAACACTTCAATGCAACTCCAGCTGGATATGGTTCTCCATTTCTTAGACTGACAAGATTACTCTTTCATAATATCTTGGAAGAAAATATCTGCCATGAATTCAATTTGAAGGTGGACATGTTAGGACGCGATGAAGGTCAAATTTTTGACTCAGCGTTTCTTCTTTCATGTTATTTCTTCTAGTGCGACACTATGTTGCTCGAACTCTCCGAAAATGTCACCGGGTGCATGGCGGATCCTCCAAAAGCAACATTTTGGAGAGTTTGCGCAACATATAGCTATAGAAAATTCTTTTCAAGTCCATTGTACCAGTTGTTAGGCTACTTCATTTGATTAATGTTATTGCCTCAAAACTTTTTAAACTATGTTAGAACCTTTTCTATATCTGCAGAACTATCCAAAGTCAATTTTTCAGTCGACTAGCATACAACTGCAAATATGCTAGTTCGCTGAAAAATTGACTTTGGATAGTTCTGCAGATATAGAAAAGTTGCTAACATAGTTTAAAAAGTTTTGAGGCAATAACATTAATCAAAATATGCTTAGTTTAATATAACATTCAATGGCAAAATGGTTTCTACCTTTCCCCGTTTCTGCTCATTGTTTTCTCAATATGTTTTCTCACCTTCTGTTTGATGTGGGAAATTTCGAAAGCAATGTGAATTCAATTTTAAAATTTACACAGATACCCACAAAATGATAGAAGATAAAAATGTTGATGATTAACAAAAAAATAGAAATTATCTCATTATGGACATATGTAAATTGAGACGTTGACTTATTGTCACATTCAGCTTTTAAATGCATTATTTTAATCTTTCAAAAGCTTTGGCTTTTTAGTTCTGGTTTTACTTGAAACTACATTTAGATCTAAGACTCTTGATTTTAGAGCTTAGTTCATGTCTCATGAGTATTAAATTTATTTTGTATTATTTTCAAGTGATACCAGCCTATATCTAAAATATATTTTAAAAATGTATATATACATTATATATTGAAAGTTTTATGCAAAGGGGTGTCCCGAATTCCGTTCTCTGACCGTGAAGCAATTGCTGTAAAAATTGCATGGGGCGCCCTATTTGGTCGCTTCCTTTTAACTTATACCTGTTTTGTTTTTCTGTTTGTATCCGTACCCCTTTTTTTTGTTAAAAGCGTTTTAAAAAGATGATTTTGCCCTTCAGAACTATTGACAAAACGGTAGACTACAGGATAACATTTCAACATGTTTTGGCAAGAAATTTTAGCAAATGAACTAAATAACTTAAGCATGTTTAGTCTCAAGTTTTAGCAAATGAACTAAATAACTTAAGCATGATAAGTCTTGAGTTTTAGCAAATGAACTAAATAACTTAAGCATGTTTAGTCTGAAGTTTTAGCAAATGAACTAAATAACTTCAGCATGCATTAACAAAAATTCATTAGAAAATTACATATTGCAAGACAAAAATTTAAGCATATTTAGTCTAAAGTTTTCGCAAATGAACTAAATAACTTTAGCATATTTAGTCTGAAATTTTAGCAAATGAACTAAATAACTTAAGCATGTTTAGTCTGTATTGCAAGACAAAAATTTAAGTATGTTTAGTCTGAAATTTTCGTAAATGAACTAAATAACTTCAGCATGCTTAGTCTGAAGTTTTAGCAAATGAACTAAATAACTTAAGCATGTTTAGTCTCAAGTTTTAGATAACTTAAGTATGTTTAGTCTTAAGTTTTAGCAAATGAACTAAATAACTTAAGCATGTTTAGTCTGAAGTTTTAGCAAATGAACTAAATAACTTCAGCATGCATTAGCAAAAACTCATTAGAAAATTACATATTGCAAGACAAAAATTTAAGCATGTTTAGTCTGAAATTTTCGCAAATGAACTAAATAACTTCAGCATGTTTAAACTTAAGTTTTAGCAAATGAACTAAATAACTTCAACATGTTTAGTCTGAAGTTTTAGCAAATGAACTAAATAACTTCAGCATGTTTAGACTAAAATTTTGGATAAAACTCATGACAAAACTGTTGATTGCAGGATAAATAACTTCAGCATGCATTAGCATAAAGTTTTAGCTTCAATGTAAAACAACTTCAGCTACTACTGTAATTGGCTGAAGTTTTACACCATCTCGCATGCTAATGAATAACCCCTGGTACTGTAAAATAACGTCATCTCCAAAGCCCAAATGTTAGCATGCTGCTATGTTTATTAGGGCTTGTTTTACAGAATGCTAATGTGAATGAGGTCATCTCCAAAGTAGAATGCTAATGCTAATACTATCAGATGTGTAATTGTCATATTATTACGAATTTTTTATCAAGTGGCTACCAAATCAATAATTTTTAAAAATAGGGTATAGATTAAAAGGTGACACAAATATAGGGTACGGGTGTAAATCCCCCGCAATTACTCACACAATTGTCCACCTTGCCATAAAAGTTAGACCGCGGTTGAGCCACAAACAAAAGAGTCTATTTGTTTGAGACTAATCAAAACAATTGTAGTAATCAAATCATTAGGTAAATAAATTTGCAGCACAAGTTTCTTTCTCCCAAATTTTGAGCTTGTCAAAATGGGAAAAGAGACATTACTCATTCACACGGGCGTACACAGGATTTTTCGCAAGCAATGTTGATATTTTAAAAAGTGAACAAATAAAAAAATATAATAACAACTCCATATTAAAAAAAAGATTCAAATTATCTATCTATCTATCGATCTATATTTATATTTATACTATATTAAAAGCACAAAGACCCTCAACTAAATATCGTTCACCTTTTTTTTACAGATTTTACATTGGACAAAATTGTCATTTAATTATTCTTCCTACAATTTAGGAGTTTAAAATCAACTAAATTATGGCCATTAAATATTTTCCTATTTGAAATGTGTAAGACTTCCTAATATTTAGGAGTTCAAAATCGATTATATTTTTCCCTATATAATTCTACCTTATTTGAACTATATAATATAATTATATTTTTTTAATGTTTAAAACTTTGACATCAAATAAACTTTTACTTAATAAAAAAGATGCATTTATGTTTACCCTCAAAATTAGATAACAATTAAATTTGTAAGTGGTTTTAAGGATACGCGGATTAACCTATTACAAAGCGATAAATTAAGTTACTATTGAATAAACAAAGATAAATTGAATTCAAACCACACGAGTTGAACAATTTCAACCTTAGTGAAATAGCCACTCTCGAGCCGGGCTCACCACGACCGGCACAGATGACAAAGAACAAGAGCTAAAGACAGAAAAAATAATAATATATTGCTTTTGAGTGCGTGTTACAATGTACTTCATGAATTATTAGACCCCATTTATATAGTAAGGGAGTCCTACTTTAGGTACAACTCTATAAAAGGTAAAAAATCTTCTGATCCATTGATTGCTGGTTCCTTATCGATATGTGCCGAGATCCCCGCCGTGATATTCGACCGAGCACGGATATTTCGGCTTTCTATTGGCTATAAAGGATTGTCTGACAATGTTCTTCGAAGTCGTTCGAGGCTAGTATCGATTCAGGGACCATGACTTCGATATTCTCGAGGGCATGCGTCATACTTTCAGGTTCTGGACCGGTGGGACTTTGGCTCGTTATCGGTCCCTTGCTGCCATGTCTCGAACCTGGCTTATTTTGTCAGAGGCCGGGATGTACCATGAGCTCGATTTCACCCGCATATAATTTACAAAATTACAAAACTTTGAATGAAATCCGTAATGAAATTTACCTATTAGAATATAATTCCTTCAATATATTCTGTTATTAGAATACATTTATGTCACGACCCGAAATTTTTCACCGATGGGACCGTGATGGCGCCTAATATTTCACTTGCCAGGCAAGCCAACGTTAGAGAATCTTTAAACCAATTTCTTATTTTCATTCAGTAAATAACAATAATTAACTAAGATGAAATATAATAAGTGCGGAATATTATAAAAATATATTAATTACTACCACCCGGATTTGGAGTAATAATTCACGAGCATTCTAGAATTTACTACAAGTAATAGTCTGAAAGAAATACAACTGTCTGAATGAAAGAAAACAGTAGGACATAAAATATAGACGAGGACTTCAAGGTCTGTGAACGCCGACAGATCTACCTTGATTCTCCGGACAACAGACCAGTAGAAAAATCTCGATCAACCTGAGCCAGTACCAAAATCTGCACAGAAAGTGCAGAGTGCAACATCAGTACAACCGACCCCATGTACTGGTAAGTGTCGAGCCTAAGCTCGACGAAGTAGTGACGAGGCTATGACAAGACACTCACATATAACCTGAACAGTATAATAATGCTAGTGGCAACAACGTAAATAAAAAAAGGCAGAAATAATGGGAAGGGGACATACAGTGGGGGAATACAATATAAAGAGTGAGAATAATGAAAAGACAGAATTAAACAGAAAATCCTTAAATATATTGAGCAAATAAAAC